TGTTCGAGATGCTTCCTGGGGAGACAGCACCCTCACAAGACGGCCTCCGTCTGCTGTGCGGTGGGGGTGGGGTGGGGGCCTTTGTCCTCATAGTTTTTAGACGGGACAAAGCCAGCCAGATGGCGCCCGGCGCCCAGTCGGCAGCCCGCCTGTCACCACGGGGTCCGACCGCAGCAGCCCACGTTGTTTCATTGCACAATTTATGCATGTGCATTGCAGAGTGAATGTGAAAAAAAGGTGAGCAAAAAGGAAAAACTAGGTCGACTGAGTCCCCACTGCAGAGAACTTCTTAACGCTCCAGGATCCGTCAGAACCTTCAGGCCTGTCCCCCGGCCTTGGGAAGAGGTGTTTCACATGTGTGACCGCTTACACGTGAATACGTGCTTCGCGGGTACATGCGTGTACACACACGTCTCGTTAACCGAAGAGGATCGTGTTGTGCGTTCCACAGTCAGGCGTTCTTTGACGTGCCCTTTCTCACGGTGGCTGTGCCGGGGCTGCCCGCGGCCTGCAGGAGCGCCCGGAGCTGATGCCTTCTCAGGAGCCAAGTCGGCATGGCCTCCAGGCGTGGGCTGCGCCTGCTGTGTCCAGAGACCTTGGGGTCACTGCCGGGCAAGGCCGCTGTGGGGCCTTCAGCTCCTCACCACCCCCCAGCAGATTCTCGGGGGGGGGGCGGCCAACGCGCCTCCAGTGCACTGGCACCCACCTCCCATGCAGCACCGACTCCGGGGTCCTGGTGCCCAGTCCCCCCCGCCCCGGCAGTCTGACAGGCTAACGGGCATCTCCACATGTGGGCACCTGTCCCCACGCATCCAGCCCGTCCGTCACCCCCTGAAGCCTTTGGGCTGCCCTCCCCTGCTCCACAGTCCTCCCGGCCACTTGCAGGACACCTTACGTGCTCAGGACGTCAGCCCTTGGCCCCTAACGTATGTCCTCCCGGTTGCGCTGCAGCTTTACCGGTGGTGGCTTTTCGGCCGGGGGGCATTTGACATCTCCAGGTCCCAGCCAGCGGCGGCTCTCCCACATCTGGCGTCTGTGTCGTCGTCTGGGTTTCGTGTTGGTGTTTGATGCGAGGGCGGCTCGAACTTGGATTTCGTGCAAGCGGGCCTGAGAAGAGGCCGTGCGTCCTCCCGTCTCGGGTTCTTGCAGTGACATCACGTGGCTCCGGTCGTGGCCGTGTCGTAAGTCGCTGAGGTGCTGGTTAGGACGCTCCCCCTCCCTGCGAAGCGTGGCAGCGACGATGACAGGGTGACGGCGACGATGACAGGGCTGGCGACGCGCTGCTCCTGGGCGCCAGCTCCGCCGTGCTTCGCGCCGTCGCTCATGGGCGGCGGGGCAGCCACTGGGGCCGCCGGGTCCCGCGAGCACGAGGGCGCAGGGCGGTTTCTCAGGCGCAGCCACGTAGTCATTTCTCCCAGCTGAACTTCCACGTCGGGTTCCAGGCTCGTGGTTTTAGTCAGGTCCCCAGAGAAACAACCAACAGGACAGACACATTGAAGGTCATTTATCTTGAGGGGTGGGCTCTGCACCCATGGGGGCTGGGAAGCCCCACGATCTGCTGTCTTCAAGCTGGAGCCCCAGGAAAGCTGGTGTTGTAATTCCCTCTGTGTCCGAAGGTCCAACATCCAGGGCACCCGAGGGTGCACATCCAAGTCCGAGGGCAGAGGAAGAGGTGATGCCCCAACTCAACGCGAGAGAGGAAAAGAATGGGGCAGATTCCTCCACCTTCGGTCCTGTTCAGGCCGCGACTGATTGGGTAAGGCCCACCACACGGGGGAGGGGCATCTTCTTTGCTGAGTCCGCTGATTCAAATGCCGACCCACCTGGGGCCACCCAGAAATCATGTTTAACCTGTCTGGGCACTGCGGCCAGTCCGGTTGACCCGCGGCACTCATCGTCACCCACCATCACCCTTTCGGCCCCGCGGACGGGCGCGGCGCCACTGTCCACACACTCAAACACTGCTCCACAGCCCAGCCGCACACACCCAGCTTCCACCGGAAGGGGGTCTCCCTTCCGGGGGTCCTGGGTTCAGCCCTAAGTCGAGAGCTCTGTCCCCATGGGAGAGGAGGGGCACGTGTCGGTGCCAACAGCTCTCTCTGTCCTCGTCCGCCGTTTAGACTGTCCCCTTAAAGCTTATAACTCACCGCATTCTTAGCTCTGATTAGTTACAGCACTTTTCCAGGGTTTTCTCGGGATAGGATCAAATTCTGTTAATAATGACAATATAACCTCCCCTTCCCATAGCTCTACTAATGTTCGAAGAACTAACTGACTGCTTCGGTGGGACGCCAGCAATGTTTTACGACATGTAGGGTGTTGGTCTGGCTGCCCTTAAATGGACACGCGGGCAAGCAGATTGTCGTGTCCCCATAACCCGGGACACCAAACGGCCCCTGAGAGAGACATTTAAGGCAAAACGCTCACAGCGCGTTGTCAGGCGGGCAAACGTGGCATGCGGACTTTGATCCAGACTTTTGGGGGAAGTAGGTGTGTGCATGGGAGGGGACAGTGGCCGCCGCCCAAGCCGCCTGCGGCCTCTGGGCTCTGGGCCTGCAGCCCTCGGCCTCCCTCTGCCCTCGGCCTCCCTCTGCCCTCGGCCTCCCTCTGCCCTTGGCGTCACTCTGTGCCTCCAACGCCCCGCGGGGCGCGGCCCAGCTCTCTGCAGACACAGCGCTGCCTGTGCGCGCGACACTCCGCCTCCGTTGCTTGCTGCTCAGGGACAAACCATCCTGAAGTGCAGTGGCTCAGAACAGTGGCACAAGAGGCGTCTCGACTGGACAGGGAGAAGGACACAGAATGGAAACGTAGAAAATCTCGAAGAGTTCGCACGGACACCCCCAGAACCACCGTGCGTTCACCCAGGGCTGGGCGATGCAGCTCTGGGAGCACAGTCCAAACCCGAACTTCCCCCCGATGTGGAACTTCGCTCTTCGAAAGACACCATCACCGAAAAGAAAATACGAGCCACGGACTGGGAGAAAAATCTTTAGGAACCACACACCCGGCGAATGACGCCTGCGCACAACACACACAGGATCCTCCGATTCGGGAGGAAGAATCCGAGCAACCCGGTTAAAGATCTGAAGAGACGTTTCGCCGCAGAAGAGACACGGGTGGCCAACAAGCGCGTGGACAGATGCTACAATCCATAGTCACGGGAGGCACGAGCCAAACCACGGCCTGCGCTCCCCGCCCGCCCGCGGCCCTGCGCTGGCCGGGCCAGGCCGGAGGGC